TGCATTTATTTTATTCTATTCACATTGTACAATTGTTATATAACCTACAAAAAAGTACAAATTCTAGTCCATTTTTCAATGCCAAGTCAGAGCCAAGTTGCAAAACAGGAAAACAGCACAGTAAGTTATAAGAGTTCACAAGCCACAGTGCCTGTCATATGATGCATTTAAAGCTGTAAATATTGCCACAGGAGAATTTCTTGTCTTTGCAGCGACCACACAGTTCCTGTCGATGAGGCCTCCTTAGATCAATGTGTCTTTTCTTTTGAGGACAGGAACAACGAGACTTTGAACAGGTCTTTAGAAAACAAGGAACAGTTTGGACACTAAATGATCAAATTAGAGTTTCAAGTGTAATCTTCAAATTGAAATGCTCCTTTTCACTACCCCAATCCCCCATATCTTCATCTTCGAGTTCTATGAGAAGCCCATGACTAACTGTACAAAACCATTGAAACCCCTTTAAATGCCATGCCTTTAAAGAGAATATTGAATGCCATGCATTCAAAAGAATATTGCTAAGTCAACCAAGATAACACAAAAGAGTTAAAAAGTTCTATAGAGTGTGTCTGTGTCATTTTGTATATGTAGCCAGGTGAGGGTGAGGAGCAGTACATGGGTACTAAGTGATTTGATAACCTAAATGAGACCATTAAAAAGGCTAGAGCGATAGTTCTCATTTAGGGGTGATTTTTACCTATGAGGGGATATTTGACCAGGTTTGGAGATATTTTGGATTGTTAAAACTAAGGGGAAGGGATATTCTAGAGAAAGCCAAATTCTTTTCTTCCCAGACATGCCCAATCTTATACTAAGATTTAATACAGTGCCTTTCAACCATTAACACATTCTGTTTTGTGATAAATAAAATAACTGGGGGCTGGGGTTGTGGCTCTGCCGTGGAGCACTTGCCTAGCATACGCGAGGTGCTGGGTTCGATCCTTAACACCACATAAAAAATAAATAAAGGTATTGTGTCCAACTACAACTACAAAAAAATTTAAAAACCCCACAAAGATCATCGATTTAAAAAAACAATAATTATGTTTTATGGGGACTGGCATATTCCCCCGGTCCACCTTCCTATCCCTGCCAACCACTGAAATTGATAATCACTGCTCCAAAGACTGCTCATATCCCATAGCCACACAGAATTAGTCAATATTTATCTTTTTAATATTTATTTTTTAGTTGTAACTGGATACAATATCTTTATTTTATTTATTTATTTTTATGTGGTGCTGAGGATCAAAACCAGGGCCTCGCACGTGCTATGCAAGCACTCTACCACTGAACCACAATCCCAGCCCCAATATTTCTTTTTATACTGTAAAAAGTATGCTTTTTTATTTTCCAATCTTAAATATGATTTGTCAAATATAATGTATAATCACATTCTCTACTTAGAATTTTCTTAGGAGGAATACTCAAATAGCTAATATACTATGCCTCACACTGTCCTAAGCACTTTATATAAATTAATTCATATAATTATCACAATTCCTTTTTAAGGGAGAAAAAGTTCAATAAAAAATGGTTTATCCTAAAGGTAGATGTCTGCTTTTGGCAATGGTAGATTAGGTAATTCTGACTGAACCTCCTGGACAACTAGAAAAACTGCGTTAAAAAAATAACTGCTTGGAAAATTATCAAAGCATTAAAGAAGCAAATCCAGAATAGAGGTAAACCTGACATATGGTAATGGTTTAAAAAAAAAAAAAATCAACTCTGTCACACTTTTCTGGAAATGTTAAAAGGCAGGTTTCCTTCAAACTGTTTTTGGATTTTTTTCTCTCCTAATCTCAAAAGACCATAATAGAAAGTTACATTAATCATCTAATTCTATGATTTTTTTTTTTTTTGGACCAGGGATTGACTCCAGGGGTGCTTAACCACTAAGCCACATCCTTAGCCCTTTTTTATATTTCAGAGTCTTGCTAAATTGCTTAAGGCCTCACCAAATTGCTGAGGCTGGCTTTGAACCTGCAATCCTCCTGCCTCATCCTACTGAGCTGTTGGGATTACAGGCATGCATCATTGGGCCTGACCTAGTTCCGTGATTTTCTAAACACTGGAAGACACCATAGAATCCAATCACAGGTCTATTAGTCTAACCTTGGGCAAGTTATTCAATCTAATTGAATTTAGCCTTGTGACCTATAAAATATCAATAATATATATTACAAAAGGCAAGTACAAACGATACTGCATGTAAAAGGTATCATGAAAAATAAGCTGAAAAGAGGATTAACAAATTGATGAGGCTAAGAGATATACCAGAGTAGAAGAGCCCTCCAAGCAACTCATACATTGTATAGGACCCTTTAAGGCTACAGCAGAAGAATAAGAACCAAAATTGACCCGCTGTCACAGGTGCTAAAGCTCAGCTTTAAAACAGCTCAACTTTAGTCTGTCTGCCTTTCATAAGCAAATATATATCCTCTCCAAAAGATATACTTCTAGGTGACAAATTATCATCATGGCTTTCACATCTGATACTAGCACTCAATCAAAAATATCCAGGTACATGAGGAGATGGAACATACTTGAAAATCAAAAGGAGAACAATAAATTCATAGGGGACTAAGTTAATGGAATTATCTGACACCTATTTTAAAGTAACTTACTATGTTCAAGGAAAAAAAGACTAACATTCCTAGCAAAGATCTAGAAGTTATTTTTTATAAACAAAAATTCTAGAACCAAAAAATATAATAACGGAAAATGATAACTCAATGAATAGGTTTAACAAATTGGAAAAAGTTGAGATAATTATAAATGGTGAATAGTAGAATAGATAATATCCTGTCGGAAGCAAGCAAAAACAAAGCAAGGAAAGTAGAGAAAAGAGTTTAAGAAACAGACATGAATATAGTATAAGGTCTAACATGTATAATTGGAAAAGAGGGAGAACGGAAGAAATAACATTTGGAAACATGACAATAATTTTCCAAAAGTGATGAAAATCTTCAAGCCACATATTCAAGGAACATTTTACAGAAACAAGAAGCAGGATAAATACACAAAACCCCAATAAATAGGCTCATTGTTGTAAAACTGTTATAAAAATATTTTAAAAGCAAGCAAATTTAAAAAAGGGGGGGATTACTTCAAGGGAAATACAATGAAGCTGAGCAGCCAACTTCATAGAAATAATGAAATTTCAGACCTTTAAAAGTCACAAATACTGTCAACCTGAAATTTCTATACCAGCAAAAACTTCTTAGACATCCAGACAAAATAGAATTTATCATCTTTATGCCTATACTAAAGAAAACATTAAAGTCTATTCTCCAAGTGAAAGAGAAGTGATCCCAGAAACAAACAAACAAACAAAAAATACAAATGACAGCAGAAAGGATAAATACATAGCTAGGAGATATTGACTTTGTAAAATAATATCTCAAAGTTGAACATATGGGTAAAATTAAAATACACAACTGCAGCATATACATTAGGATGAAATGATATGGAATTTGAGAGTGCTAAATTCTTTGCATTGGCAAGAAGAGTTAATTTAGACTCTGATCAGTTGTGTTGCCATTTCTACAGTAACCACCAGAAGAACCTTAAGGAATGAATAACTACCAAGATAATCAATTGGAAAAAAAAATTTTTTTTTAAATTACTCCAACCAGGCACAGTGGTGCATGCCTTTAATCCCAACTATTTGGGAGGCTGAGGTGTGAGGATTGTAAATTCAAGGCCAGCCTTAGTAACAGAGAAACCCTGTCTCAAAAATTTTAAAAAGATCCTGGGATGCAGCTGAGTGGTAAAGGGCCCCTGGGTGGTGCAATCCTCAGAAAGGAAAAAAAAGAAAAAGAAAAAGAAAAAAAAGTGAAAATAAGGAAAGGGAGTATAGAAAAAATAGTAAGAAAATGTATTTAAACCCTTTTATTTATTTATTTTTTTTTAACCCCAGCACTGGGGATTGAACCTGGAGTACTCTACCACTGAACTATATCCCCAGCACTTTCTCTTTTTTATTTGGAACAGGGTCTTGCAAAGTTGCTCAGGCCAGTCTCAAATTTGTTATCCTCATGCCTCAGCCTCCTGAATTGCTGGCATCACAGGCATGTGCCACCACTCCCAGCCTTAAACCCGATTTTATAAATATTTATATTAAACATAAGTAGACAAGAATCTCAGACTTGGAAATCCAAGCCTTCAAAATTTTAAACTAGCTTTTAAAATATCATTTCTTTTACCCAAATTATAGAAAAATAAATAAGTAGAGGATTTTATTTTAGGAAAAAAAAAAAACAAAACTTCTTGGGCTAAGGATAGCTCAGCTGTAGAGTACTTGCCTAGCATGCACAAGGCCCTGGATTTAATTTCCATAACAAAAATGTAAAAAAACTTCCCGATTACGAAAATAATTTTACACTTCTCTGAAAAGCTTGAAGACAGATTTCCTTAAGGCTGTTTTATATTATCCCTCACCCCAAACTCAAAAGGAATTAATAGGAAGTCAAGCTCTCAACTAGTTCTGTGACTTTCCACACACTGAAATATAGCATGGAATCCAACTACAATCCTAATAGTAACCAGTCTAACCTTGGGCAAGTTATTTACTGTTATTCAATTTAACTTTCTAATTTATAAAAAAAAAAAATGAGAATGCCTATCACAAAGGTTAAATTACAGGAGAAAACACATGCTAAACACTTAGCCCAAAGTTTGGCACATAGTACAAGCTTAACAGTTACATATCAAAATACTTTATTTTAACTATAAACAGGATATTTCAGGAAAAACACACACATCATAAACACACCACATAAGACAACTTAAATTGTAAATCCTTCCCATTTTTTCCACAAAGCATAAATTCTGATTTGCCTTTTATTTCTTTTTCTCAAATATTTAATCATAAAATTTCAAATATATGAAAACTTAACATTCCTATGCTAATATGCAGTTCCATTAAATCCTGACATTTTCCACAGAGGCTTCATGTTGATAAAAAGAAACACAATGAAATTGTTCTGTGTGCTTACCTGACAGTGGATTGCTTCTACTCGATAAGGGTTAAAACTCTTTTGGCACTTGCAACAGAGTTGTTTGAAATAAACCTAAGAAGAAATTTGTTTGTTTGTTTAAAGTACAAGCTGATATAGGTATATATCTCCTAGGCCATTAGTTTTTTATTAAAGTAAGCCATTTCCTCACCTTGCTGTTATCCAACCTCTACCCTTGGGGTTTTAAGCTCTACTAGTGCTACTGGTCATCACCTTTCTTAATCTATGAATCTAATTTTCCTTAACTATAAAATTGGAATACTACTACTTATTCTTTTCTGACAACCACCCAATAACATACTTAATAGAGACTCAATAATAGAAAGTAGCTGTTATGATAGTTTTATTCATTGTGTAGGCCAAGCCTTTCTTCTGAATGAACCCCAACTTAAGCCACTTGACATGTTACATTTTCCAGTATTGCCCCACTTGAAATGTAAATTATTTTGGTTACCCATCAGTACCATTTTCTAGGTTTTGTGCATTTTCCTGTACAAAATTTCCTCCCTACTTGGTGAATTCCTCCCTTTTGTCCTCAAAGCCCTGTTTGGGCATCAGGATCTGTCCCTCAGGTTAATCGTTGCCTCCTGTGGGATTACCACTTCCATGCAGTGAGTGCCACTGCTCACATCATCAAACTGCATTCTTGTCTAAATCACTCCTATCAGAATACATTTCTTGAGGATGACAACTGTGTTGTTCTTTGTATTCTACTGCCTTGGAATGTCTGAATTAAACCCATGGTTTTCCTTCTATCGAGAGAGGGGGCTTTTAGTTTAAAATTCACCTCCTGGGTCCAGTAAATGGCTAGTCTGAAAACACAAGTCTTCATTCAAGTCTTAGTGTGCCTCTTTGTCCTTTCCCTCCACAGGCCTTTAGTTAGAAAGGCCATATCTGCACATGCAACACAAACTCAGATGCTCTTCTAAGTTAATGCAATAGACCCACTGTAGATGACTGCCAAATGAAGCCCATAGGCCAGGCAAAACAGAAGCCACTCAGCTGCATCCTGTTCTCATTCTGAAATGAGGGTCCATGATGACCAGAGTCTGTGATATTCATGAAAATCCAGAAATGCAGAACAGAATGTGAAGTCATTCCCAATCTCAATGTTGAGAATTAACTCCATTGTGGGTAGCGTGTATACACAGTCTTAGCTAAGCAAATCTCTTTAGGAGTTTTCTACCTTTGTAAGTTATTTCTTTCATTGCCCCACCTTGTGGACAAACTGGAAATTTCCTCAAACTAGAGGCGAAATCTGTTCAAAATACACCAGCTAAAAAGTTGTTAGAGTCCCAACATAGACAAAAGTTCTTCTAAATAACCTGACACTTTGTCCAACCAAACTACCAAACCACATACAACACAAGGATATGGCTCAGGAACTGAGGTGGACCGTGGAATTTAGTTTGATTCAAACAGTCACTGAATGCTTACTGCATGCTTTGCACCCAGGACACCAAGATGATTGAGACAGGATTGTAAAGTCATCTTGCAACTAGAAACAGATCCTTCTTCCAACTGACATCTGTGCCCACCCCATTCTCCTGTCATATCCCATTTACTTTTACTTACCTTATTAGTTCCAGAAATGCACCACACATAAGCACTCTCCCATCTGGTCTTACAGTCTTTACAGTGAAAATAGCCATATTTTGGTTCCAAAAACTGAAAATAAGGGGGTGGGAGTCTTTTACTATATTTTGGAGGGAAAAAATAATTTTTTTTTTGCTAATTGCTTTGTGTAAAAATTTAAAATTACCTCCTTAACGTCACTTATATCTATGTCAATGCTACTACATTCATTTAAGGGCTCGTCTCTTAAGGATTACCCTAGGATTCTTCTTGCTGTTGTTGCTCATACTTTTCCCATTCCATTTTCCACCGTGCCACCAGCACAATCTCCCAAAATGAAACCTGACTTCATATTGCACAGAGTTGAATCTCTTGACTCCTTCCCAAAAGCAATAGTGGACAGATTTTTGGTTTTAAGTTAGGCTTGCCACCGTGTTTTAACAAAAACTTGCAAAACTCACAGACCACGTAAAAAATGTTTTCAGAACTCCCTGACCAAATAAAAGGATGAAGCAAGAGAAGACTTTGCTCTTATTGTCCCAGAAATGTAAGAGAGGAGAGGGAGGCAAGGGACTAAAGAAGAGGGAGGAGAAAGTATACCTGGAAGTTGGTCTTCCGGAGAGGCTCTGCAGCGGCAACTCCTGGCGCCTGCCTGTTCTTTCTTTCCCTAGGATACACTGCATCTTCCTGCCCCAACTCCTCTGGTCCTCGGAGTTCCTCCTGCCCATCATCTTCTGACCTTGGCGTTGATGGTGGCTGCTGGCTGTTCTCTGCAGGGCCTGAAAGCGCCTTGTTTTCCCCATCTTCTTCATCCTTCCGCAGTAGGCTCAATCCCCTGCTGCTGACCACTGGCAAATGTACTCCCCAGGTTGTCATTGGTTGTCTGTCCCAGGGGGAGCGGCTGCGCAGGGTTCGAGGCCCCAGGGAGCACTGCACGGACTTGTCTACCCGCAGGCTCACCTGCACGCCCACTTCCTTGGTGTTGGCTTTGCACAGCCGTATGCTTAAGTTGGGGTTCATCTGGGCAAGAATGGCCTTAAGTTGAGCCCTCTTGTAAGGGTCCACGCAGTAGTCTGGGGCATTCGCTGGCACCAGCAGCCCTGGCCTGGCCAGGAAAGTAGGGGGACCCATGCTTTGCCTCCAGTCGAACTGTTTGTGCCCCGAGAGTGCCGGTTGGCCCAAAGGCAGTGGGTTTCCATAGCCCTGGTATAAGCCATAGGGAAGGCGGACAAAGCGCTCCATCCACTCACCAGGTGCTCAGACTCAATATCTTCCTGTGTTTAGTGTCCTTTCGCCTTCCACCTTTACTGGCCCCTTCTTTTTCCTGGTCAAGCTGGTTCAGGTTCATCCTTGGCTTCTCCATTTATTTCAGAATCTAACAGGAGCTGCTACCTATTACCCAAATTAAAGGAGGGCAGATGAACCTACCTGCAGAGATCTATAGCCACTTGATTCCTAATTGCTTTTCCCTAACCTCTTCAATTCACCATTCCTCAATCATTTTCAAAGCTGTTTTTCATTTCTGACTATTCACACACATGCTTTAATTAGCAATTTCGTTCATTTATTCCTCTAGTGGCCATTTTATAGATCCCTTGTGCACTGTTGATGGAGATGTAAATTAGTACAGCCGTTATGTAAAACAGTATGGCAGTTCTTTAAAAATTAAAACATAGAAATTATCATCTGATCCAGCAATCCCACTACTTTGGTGTATACCCGAAGGAAATGAAGTCAGGAATCTTAAAAAGATACCTGCACTCCAAGTTCACTGCAGAATTTTTCTCAACAATCAAGCTATGCAAACAACCTGTCTGTTGACAGGTGAATGAATAAAGAAATTGTGATAGAATAGGGAATATCACTTAGCTTAAAAAAAAAGAAAATCCTGCCATTTCCAAGCACATGAACAAATCTTGAGGCATTATGTTAAAAGAATGAAATAAGACAGGTAGAAAGAAAAATTACTGCATGATCTCACTTATATGCAGAATCTAAAAAAGTCAAATACACAGTTACCAGAGGTCGGGAGGTGGGAAAATGTTGGCCAAAGCGCAAAGCTGCAACCCTGTGGGATAAATAAATCTAGAGATTCAATGTACAGCATGATAACTATACTTACTACTACTGTATTTATCCTGAAAATCTGCTAAGAGTAGATTTCTAGTGCTCTTTTTACATGTGCAAAAAAGGTAACTGAGAGATGAATGTGAATTGCTTGACTTGCAGTAATCATATGTCTATGTGTACTAAAATATGTTGTACATATTACAATTTTTATGAAAAAATTTTCAAAAAATAAAGCATTAATAAATTAAATACAAATAGTAAGTTATCTGAGCAGCTGCACTAGAAGTATACAAGAAAGGAAGTATATTATGGTAGATCTAATGAATGTCAAATCCCTATTACTTCAGAACAAGGAACATAGTTATAGTGGTATGTTTATGAGAGAAAATATATTTCAGGGAGTGGTGTGACATACCAAGGGTTCTCATTAGTCCATTCCCAGTGAGACACCCATTTCCCTGCTCCCAGAAAAGGGTAAAAAAGCAAATTGTTTTCATCTGTGGAATAAATGCAGGTTTTTTTTTTTGTTGTTGTTGTTTTCACTGCTATGTACTTAAGTGTATGAGATGAAACGGACTTGAATTCAAACCTGGGCCTTGTTACCAGGCAAGTTACTTAATTATTTCAATTTCCCAGTCCTGTCTGCATTAGCAAGGGATTCTGCTATAACTCAGGATTATTAGACTAAAAGTGATACCTAAATAATCAAATACAACCAAATTATTTTTTCCAGTATTGGAGATTGAACCCAGGGGTACTCTACCACTGAGCTGCAGCCCCAGCTTATTTATTCAAGACAGAGTCTTGCTAAATTGCTGAGGGTGGCCTAGAATCTTCCTGCTTCAACCTCCCAAATCGTTGGAATTACAGGCACGAACCACTGCATCTGGCTAAAATTTGCTCTTTTCCTTTTCCAAGGTGCCTACGGCTGCTCAAGCACCTTCTAAAAGCGGCCAGGAGCATGAGCATCTTCCTTCAGCGTTTTTAGGTCACACAACAAACCCGATTTAAGCTTTGTACTGAACATGTCACAGACCCTATGAATTCAGTCTGGTCCAGTTCCTGTATTCTAGGACACTTTGGGGTAAAGACAAGCACAAAAAAGGATGATCAGTATCCTAAAAATGTAAAAAATACTACCACAGCCCGCAGAAATAAATAACCTAATATTGCTGGAATGCTTTAAGACGGGTTCACAATTTTTGAAGTGGAAACACTGCTCAGAGATCCTGAACAGCACGCCTACTGAGATTAATGTCAATTCAGGTGTCTGTCTTTTCCACTACCACGCTGTTCTGGAGTCACCACAACCTCGTTTTTTTCTAAGGTCGGCGTACTTTGCGGGGCAGGCCTAATGGAACGCCCGCTGTTAGGGCAAACAAGTGCCTTTCCAAGGTCCCAACCAGACCCTATCCAAACGTGACCACCTAAACATGAGAGAAGGGAGACGGGACGTGAGTAGTAGCGGGTGGCCCACGCTGGGAGGTCTGGTATTCTGATGAAGAAAACACGCACTCCAAGCGACTGTTCTGAAACCCAATTAGGAACTCCCTTTGGCTGCAGTGAGAAGCGGCGGGGCTGTCCGCCGCTGCCTGACTTCCGGGTGTTGCGTACGCTACGTGGAGCGTCATGGCGTCATCGCGTCACGTGCCTAGAGTGAACTTTTGGCGCGAGCGTCTGAAACTAGGCGGAGGCGGAGCTGCTAGTTTTGCGCGCCTCGGGTCTCCACTGGAGAGATAGTTCGCCACCGGAAGGAGCCTGAGGGGTCGGATTTGTGGTCTAGGTGCGCGCGCAGTTCTTTGCAGTCTACTCCAGCCAAAAAACATCTGCATCACTGGAGCGGGTTAGTGGTGTCGTCTGGGGACGGGGTTGTGTCCGGCGGGTGGCGGGGGGAGCGCCTCCCATGTCCTGGGTAGGAGCCGCGACTTCTGCCCTCGCCGTCTTTGCCGACCCCACCCCTGCCCGAGAGAAACGACACGGTCTCCGAGGCCAATACCTACAAAGCACATTCGAGCCCCTCACCTTCCCTGGGACTTTGATTCCCCACGCCGGTCCGCGCCTTTGGGCCTTACAAGCCAGACTTGCCTGCTAAGTGTGCTAGATGTCCCGGTGTGAAATTTCTCGTGGGCACACTGTATCTGCCTTACGCAACCCCCAGTAATTGCTATTTTCCGAAGATTTACAGATTGGGAATTATCAAATGGTATTTGTAACTGCAACCACTAGCGACGCTTGTCTAATTAACGTAATTAGCTAATGTGAAAAAGCCTGTTCTTGAGCCATACTATCCACTTTTCAAGTGCTTAATGTGGCTAGTGGTCCATGGATTGGAGAGTACAATTATAGAATTTTCCAATCCTCACGATAAGTTTTTATTGGACTAAGGTGGAGGTGACTTTGGACAAGCTTACTGGCGTTTCTGATTTTATTTCGGTCACTTAGGAAGGAATGCATCCCTTCTAAGTGTATTTTGGTCTTTTGTTTTGCAGACTTATTTACCAATCATTGGAGAAATATTGTAGAGAAAAATGCCTATTGGATCCAAAGAGAGGCCAACTTTTTTTGAAATTTTTAAGACGCGATGCAGCAAAGCAGGTATTGTTAGGTTTTGTAAAATTTCATAAACTACACTTCAGAGAGTTTTTCAGAAAAATAAATAAAGATGAATGCTTGCTAAAAAGAACCTAGTTATTCTCTGTTTTACTTTAGACTGAAGTTTTGGAGTCATACCTATTAATGACATAGTTATTCACTGGTTAGCCCTTAGTTGATGGGGAGACTGGTCTCTTGGCAGCAATAGGAAGAATTCTTTTAAAATACTACTAACAATTCAGAAGTGCTGATAATGCCACTTGAAGGCAGAGATTGTCAATTTTTTTGTTTGTTTTAGTACTCCTCAGGCAATTTGGAATGATCAAGGACCCTCAAAGACCTTATAATATTAGAAGTTAGTAAGAGTTAGAGAATTTATTAATTCACTTAAAAGCAAAAATATGCCCATTGTAGATTATCATAAAATTTTTATAAAAAATGTATTTTATAAAACAAGATTTAAAAAGAAGAGTGGGTTGTTTTACATTTTGCAGTTCATTTTGATGTTTGGCTTAATAGAAGATAGCTGGATTCTTGTATCTATGTCTGCGTTTAATCTGTTACAGTCTATAGTTTTGGTAGAAGTGTATGAATAAAATTCAACCCCAAACAGCTAGGTAGTTGGGAAAAGGGGAATTTTAATAGTCTTTAGTTACTTGTATGTATTTCTTTATTTGTCTTGTTTTTTGAATAGATCTTCCAGAGAGTTAAAAGATACTTCTGTAAAATCATTGCCATTGTTACTTGGAAGATCTTGGTCTTTTAGATTAGATTTTGACATACTACATTAAGCAGTATGAAAAAAAAAATCACACTCATTAATA